CAACCTCCAACTCCTGGGCCCAAGCGAGTCTCCTGCCTCAGCCTCCCAAGCAGCTGGGACCACGGGCGCCCGCCACAGCGCCGGCCATATTTTGGTTGCAGCCATCATTGTTGTTTGGCAGGCCCGGGCTGGGGGATTCGAACCCGCCACCTTAGGTGTATGTGGCTGGCGCCTTAGCCGGTTGAGCTATAGGCGCTGAGCTGGCCCTTGTAATTCTAAGATGAAACCTTTTCCCACCGGCTGGGACGTTTTTTTTTACCAATTTAACATAACATACAAACACTCACCTATGTATTCAAATCTGAATCCTTTAGGTTACTGAATGTGTTTTTTTGTGGGCTGCTTTTTAAAACTACAGCAATATCTCATTTTATAAGGCTAGGTGCTAAAGTTGGTGGGCCAGGTGAAAATCATTATGACAGAATTGTCATCAAGAATCCAGTGGTAGGTCAGGCACAGTGGCTGATGCCTGAATCTGAGTGCTTTGGTTGGCAGAGGTGGGAGGATCACTTGAGGCCAGGAGTTGAGACCAGCCTGGGCAACATAGGAAGACACCCCCCTGCCTTCCCCCTCGACCTCCCCTCGGCCCCATCTTTACAAAAAATATGATTTAGCCGGTGTTATGGTAGTCCAAGCTACCAGGGAGGCTGAGGCAGGAGGATTGCTTAAGCCCAGGAGTTTAAGATTTTAGTGAGCTATGATTATACCACTGTAGTCCAGCTTTGGTGACAGAATGTGACTCTGTCTCTTTTTTTTTGAGACAGGAGCCTCAAGCTATCCCCCTGGGTAGAGTGCTGTGGCATCACAGCTCACAGCAACCTTCAACTCCTGGGCTCAAGCGAGTCTCCTGCCTCAGCCTCCTGAGTAGCTGGGACCACCGGCACCTGCCACAACGCCCAGCTATTTTTTGGTTGCAGCCGTCATTGTTGTTTGGTGGGCCTGGGCTGGATTTGAACCCACTACCTTGGGTGTACATGGCTGGCGCCTTAGCTGCTTGAGCCACAGGGGCCGAGCCGTGACTTTGTCTCTTAATAAAATGAAAATCCCATGGGAAGGCATCTTATTAGAGAGCCGTGTACTTGATTTAGTTATTTATTTATTTTTTGCAACAGTCTCACTATGTCACCTGTGGTAGAGTGCTGTGATGTCACAGCTCACAGCAACCTCAAACTCTTAGACTTAAGCGATTCTCTTGCCTCAGCCTCCCAAGTACTTGATTTCTTAAAGGCTAGCACAGCCAGTGTTTCTTCCCTTATTGAAAGCTGTTGAGCTTCAAGTCCTTGTTTGTTTTTTGCCTGTTAAGCTTCAAATGATACAGTTGGCTTGTATTTGGGGCTTGGGTGATAATTCAGATCTTTAGACACCAGAGTCTCATTCAGCGTGATGGGGAGCTTAACACCATTAGTGGTGTTTTGAAAACTAGATCAAAAGAAGGGAAAACTCGTCTTATTTTGGTGCTTATTCAGAATCACCTGGAGGGCTTGGTAAAGCGCAGATTACTGGTTCCGCCTCCATAGTTACTGAGATTTGGCTGCAGGGACTGTATGTCTAACAAGTGTCCAGGTGATGCTGCTGCTGCTGGTCCAAGGGCGGCACGTGGGCTAATTGAATGGAAACAGATGGGATCACTTGTTTATCTTCCCTTCACTATCTGTTTGTTTCTCTTGTTCTCTTTTATTTTTAGGCTGACTCAGTGTAGATGAATTAGTTTGAGAAATGCAGGGGCTGTAGCCTAGCCAACTCTTTATCCCATTGCTAAGCTCAGTACTTGGCCCAGAACAGGAGTTTAATAGATGCTTGTTGAATGAGTGAGTAGTAAATTAATACATACAGCCTCAGTGCTCAACAGCTAGGGTGCAGGCCCCATGCACAGGCGCTGACAGGTTCCGACCTGGCCCAGGCCTGCTAAACAACAATGACAACTACCAAAAAAAATTAAAATAGCAGGGCATTGTGGTGGGCATCTGCAGTCCCAGCTACTTGGGAGGCTGAGGCAAGAGAATGGAGTAAGCCCAAGAGCTTAAGGTTGCTGTGAGCTGTGATGCTACAGGACTCTACTGAGGGTGAGGTGACATAGTGAGACTCTGTCTCAAAAATACATAAATAAACAAACAAACATATACAATGGGAGGGATTTATAGTACGTGGACATCATAACAATGTACCTGGTCTTTACCAACTGCTTATTTTCCTGAAAAGTAGGCAGTCTGTAGATTAGAATAGCCTGTATTATAGGACTACATGTAATGATGACGGTGGATACTGGGAGAATGCAGTTAGGTAGTATTGAGACACCTGCATTTTAGGACGTGTGTGTATGAAGTGTAACTGCACATGTGTGTGTTGCTGGGTGCAGGGAGGGAGTCCCATCTGTTTTACTTACTTCATTTTATTTTATTTTTATAGATAGGGTCTCTATCACCCAGACTGGAGTGCATGGCATGATCATAACAAGTCCGTAGTACAGTTTGAATATCCCTTATCTGAAACATTTGGGACTAGAAGTAGTCCAGATTTAGGCTTTTTTAAAAATTTTGGAATATTTGATTATCATTACTGGTTGAGCATTCCTGACCCCAAAATCCAAAATTTGAAATGAGTATTTCCTTTGAGCATCATGTTGACAATTCAGAAAGTTTTGGGTAAGAGAGCACTTCTGATTTCCAATTTTTGGATTAGGAATGTTTTACCTGTATCATTTAATACCTAGTCCATATTGAACTTAACCCAATTGTAGCCAGTGTCATTTGTATCTTGTTTGTTCAAAGTAGGAGCTAATCCAGGATCATGCATTGTACAGGATTATGTTTCTTAAAATCCATTTGATCCAAACCAGACCCTTTTTTCATGACATGGCTTTGCCATTGTCTTGTAAAATGTCCCACCTTCAGACTGATCTGATTGCCTCTTTAGTGTTTTCAACTTGCTTTCTCCCCTCTGTATTACAAGTTGAATATTTTTGGCTGGAATACATCAAAAGTGACATGTGTTTCATTCTGTGCCACATCAGGAGACATGTAACCCCAGCCTGTCCACCATTAATGATGCTGACACTCACCAGTAGGTTAAGCCTGATCCTTCCATTATAAGTTATGTTTTCCCCTGTGACAAGACAGCGTTTCTTATGGTGTTGATACTCTCTGAATGTCTGTCTTCCTGACATCTATTCTCCTAATGCATCTCAGACCAATTAATAAGTTTTGCTTTAAAGAACAACCATTTTTCTAATTTGGTCATTCCTAAATTTGACTACATTTGACCTCCCTCAGCTCTTCCTAATCAACGGGGACTATCTGGTAACCTCAAACACAATTCTGTTGGAAAGGCGGGTTATGAATTTTTAACCTTTTAATTCCCAGTTTAAAGTAAGGAGTTGAAGTAGCGGACATGTCAAATAATTTTCCTTCTTTCTTTCTTTTTTCAAAAATATTTTCACGGACTAATGGGATTTATATGAACTGAATGTTTCAGTTAACTTCAGTCATTCCTCTTTTCAGGTTCAATTTGTCTTGTGTTCAGTTTATTACAATGTCAGCTGGTTGACCGACTCTCGCGGTTTGCTTCTGTGTCTGTTAGGTGCTCCATTCTCCAGTACTTACTTTCTTTCTTGCACAGCAAGATGTCGGCCTGTCTTTTAGCCTCCTTGTCCCAAATACCAATCAGCCACTTTATTAACAAGCCCTACTTTCTTTTAGTGAGAATGGAAATATTAGACATCAAAATCCTGGCACTTGGACAGTGTTTATCGATCTTTTCTATGGCCTATTTAGTTCTCGAATTTTTGTTAACTCAAAGCTTTTATATTGAAAATTCAGCTAGTAAGGGATATTTGTAGTTTGAAAAATAATGGGATGTACGCTATACTTGAAATCATTTCTAAGCAAGTAAAAAAAAAATTTTTTTTTTTTTTTTTTTGGAAATAGTCTCACTCTGTCACGCTGGATCATCATAGCTCACAGCAACCTCAAACTCTTGGGCTCACGTGATCCTCCTGCCATAGCTTCCTAAGTAGCTGGGACTATAGGTGCCCATCACAACTCCTGGCAGGTTTTTCTATTTTTGATAAAGATGAGGTATTGCTCTTGATCAGGCCGGTCTCCAACTCCTGAGCTCAGGCCATCCACCCACCTTGGCCTCCCAGAGTAGTAGGATTATGGCTGTGAGCCATCACCCAGCCATGCTAAGTGAGTAGATTTTGTGTTCTCACCACAAAAAAGGATAAACATGTAAGGTAATGCTTACATTATTTAGCCATTTTATAATGTATACGTATTTGAAAACATCATGTTACATACCATAAATATGTATGTATAAATCAATAAAAAATTAAGAAATGAGAAAATAATGGGTTTATATTTCTATTATCAATTCAATTCTTTTCTTCTTTTCCTCCTCTTCCTTCTATTAATTCAATTTTTAACATGTTTTTAAAGCAGCATTGTATCTTTTCTTCTTCTCTGAAAATCATGACCACCAGTAATAAACATTGCTTTTGCATTGCATTATACAGAAAATAGGGCTAGGCGTGGTGGCTCACACTGTAATCCCAGCACTTTGGGAGGCTAAGGCTGGTGGGAGGATCACTTGAGGCCAGGAGTTTGAGTCTAATGTGAGCAACATAGCAAGACCCTGTCTCTACCAAAAAAACAAAAACAAAAACAAAAGTTAGATGGGCATGGCATTGTGTACCTACAGTCCTAGCTACTTGGAAGGCTGATGTGGGTGGGAGGATCTCTTGAGTCCACGAATTCAAGGTTGCAGTGATCTATGAAGATGCCGCTATACCCTAGCCTGGGCAACAGGGCAAGACGCTGTCTAAAAGAAAATAATTTTAAAATACTAATATCAACATTGGTATTAATAACAAAACTAAATGAAAATTTCTTGTGATTATTTTTATAACAGAGGTTGATTTTACTGGAAGATGTAATTTAATTTCTTTTATGTTGATCTCATTTAATGACTTGCCTTTAAATCCGTTTTGTCTGTTTGTATCATAGATTGATCATTTTGGATTTAATTCTGTGAAAACTTTTAATCAGCGGTATCTGATAGCTAATGAATACTGGAAGAAAGATGGTGGGTCAATACTGTTCTACACTGGTAATGAAGGGGACATCGTCTGGTTTTGCAATAATACGGTATGTGCAGATTTGTGAAATTCCAGTGTTCAGTTTGCCTTTTATTAGGATAATATGGAAAAATGCTTTGCAATATTTTTAACCAACCATTCCTGTTCTTAATGGTAAAGTTCTTTAAAGATAACAAAAAGATAAACTCACTAATAATAGAAAAATAGTAAAAGTAATAAATAGGCAATTCATAGAAGAATAAATATAGATATCCAATAAGTCTGCGTGTTTAGCCTAAAAGAATCACAAATGAAAAGAATGAAATACTATTTTTTGAAAATTGAATTAAAAAATATTTTTAGAGAAATGTTATCTTATTTCTGGAGTGAATGGGGATATGAGGGAAATAGGCATAGGATTGTTATTGCATGTAGTTTGTTTGATTATGGGCTCTGGAAGGTAAACTAAGGGCAGGGATTTTTGTACGTCTGTTCATTGTTATATTCTCAGAGTTCAGGACTGCATTAGGCACAAAATAATATTTATTATTTAACATATAATAAATACTGGTTAAATGAATGAATGAATAACTTAAAGCCAATGTAAATAAGAAAAAATATTTGACGGTCAAATAGGGATGGGAAAATGTAAAGTTGTAACTATATTTTGGTTTAGCTGCTTTCTGGTTCTACCATTTTCTTGTGTTTGTGAGGGTTAAAAATAGTATTGCCTGCTTGCTTGCTTCCCTGACTACCCTGTCACCTTTTATAATAATATTTAAATCTGTTAACAAAACTTAATTTATAAGGACATGGGAAGGGAAGAAATGTGTCTCCTTTTCAATGTGTCAGTGCCATGACTAGAAAATGTCAACTTTCTACCAAAAAGCTAGTATGTGAAATGCCTTAAAGTGGGGACTGAATCCCATAATCTCAATGCCAGTGTCTGCCCTGGTACCTTGTATTCAGGAGGCCTTACTCGATGTTTGTTGAACTGATAGGAATTGAGAGGAAACATGTTAATCCGACTATACTGTTAATGCATTCTTCATTCCTGGTTTTTTTTTTTTTGTGGGGGGGGGTTGTTAAGAATCTAAATACAGTTTTTACTTGAAGATAAGTAATTTCCCTGAAAACTGAGATCCTAAGATGTCTTGTTTCTTTCAGATCAGTGACAAATGAAATCAGAACTTCCTTTCCAGCAGGTCTCTGCTCTGTTCTGTGCAACAACAGAGGCTGCTTTGTCTCTTCTTTTTGGTGTGTGACTTTCCTTTTATGCCAAGGCCACAGGGCGGCTTTTTAGCTGGTTTTATTTTTCTTTATTATAGGCAGGTAGCTACTCCTGCCTCCCCCAGACTCCACTGTCTGACAGGCACTATGGCTTGCTGGGGAATCTCTGTCTTCAGTAGGGGCAGGGAGGAAGAGACACTCAGTGCTGGCACCGTTGTAGGGAACGGACTAGAGGCAGACCCCAGCGGGGCAGACCCTGGCCCCTCCACAGCCCCAGACACCTTTCCTTACCTACCAAAGTGTTCCAATGCACGCACACTTGGGACTGTGATTTATTGAGAGGCAGTGCAGAGCAAAGACTTCAACCAGACTAAGGAGAGTTGAATTCTGATTTTGGCACTTGGCTTTGTGACTTTGGGAAAGTTTTTTTTTTTTTTTTTTGCCAGGGAAAGTTTTTTGTTCTCTGCCTCAGTCTTCTCACCTGTTAAATGCATATAGGAAAAATATCTACTTCACAGAGTTGTTGTAAAGACTAAATAATAAATAAGATCAAGGGATTTGTAAGCAGCTCAGCGCCTGTAGCACAGTGGTTACGGCACCAGCCACATACACTGAGGCTGGCGGGTTTGAACTCGGCCGGAGCTAACTGCAACAATAACAAAAATAAAAGCCGGGTGTTGTGGCCGGCCCCTGTAGTCTCAGCTACTGGGAGGCTGAGGCAAGAGAATGGCTTAAGCCCAGGAGTTTGAGGTTGCTGTGAGTTGTGATGCCACAGCACTCCACTGAGGGCAACATAGTGAGACTCTGTCTCAAAATAAAAAGGGACTTGCAAGCACACAATGGTCATAAATATTAATATATTACATGAACTTTTTTTGAAAAATAAAAATACTCCTGAAATAAATGTAGGCAAATAATTATTTATTACATTGTGAACCATTTCAATGAAATTGCTTCCTTTCAAAGCCTGAGGTCCATTCCACAGAGGTGTGGATATTTTAATGGATGATCTTTACCCTTAAGATTCTCCCAATCTGGTAGAGTAAGACACACATGTAAGCAAATACTGTAGCACAGTACTGTTGATCTGTAGCTAGCTCAGTGGTGGTGGGAAGGAGGGAGTGATCTGCATTGTCAGGGTCAGGCAGGCAGAGGAGGGTGTGCTTGAGGTGGCTGCTGCACGATCTATAGATAAATGAGCAGGCAGTGAATATGTCCTAAAGAGAGAAAGTGAGGGCCATTGAAACTATCACAAAATAACTGGTTAAATTCTTCATCTTCTCTTCACATATATACAGCTCTTGTAATTGTTAATTTATTGATTGTAACAAACAAAAACATTCTTTTTTTTTGTTTTGAGACAATGCCTCAAGCTGAGCCCCTGGGTAGAGTGCCATGGCTTCACTGCTCACAGCAACCTCCAACTAGCTGGGCTCAAGCGAGTCTCCTGCCTCAGCCTCCCAAGTAGCTGGGACCACAGGCGCCCGCCACAACACCCAGCTATTTTTTGGTTGCAGCCATTATTGTTGTTTGGCGGGCCTGGGCTGGATTTGAACCCGCCACCTTAGGTGTATGTGGCTGGCGCCTTAGCCGGTTGAGCCACAGGCGCTGACCCCAAACAAAAAGATTCTGAGGTTCTTAGTCCTTGTTAGAGAGTAGCAGCTCATTAAAAACAAGATGCACTAGGAATGACAAATAGTTTTAATCTGTGCTAAATCTAAATCTAATTGATTGATGTTGGTTGCTTAGGATGCTTTATCTAAAAAGGATTCTGAGAACATGACTGATGTAAATGAAAAAAATGTAGTGAGTTATTAAGGATTAGCCATAGGTATTGGAGCAGAGAGATGGACCAGCGCCTGGCGATCACACTCTGGAGCCAGGCGACCTGTGTTGGCATCTTTGCTCTGTCAAGGGTTGTACAAACTCTGTGTCTCAGTGACTTTGTCTGTAAAATGGGGATCATTGAAGTGCCTGCTTCTTAGATAGTTATGACAATTAAGTGAATTAATACATATAATGTATTTAGAACAGTTATAAGCACTCAGTTCATATTAGCTATTGTTAGCTATGACTCATTTTCCAATAAATCAGATTAATATGAAACCCAGTTGAGTTTATTGTGCTTGTTTGTACTGTTTTCTCTTTTATCACAAGCGTCTTACTTAGGTAAATTTCACCTTTTCCTAGAAGATTGGGCGCACAGTGCAATTTGAAGACTGTTGTGGACATACTGTTGATTCTAGGGCTGCTGTGTCGGGGTGAGAAGAGTTGGAATGACTAGTGGAAGAGGAACCTGGGATCATTTTTCATTGTTTCACTCTAATACAATGTGAGATTGATATGCAACAGCCATTATGTCATTTATCTGTAGAACAACGAATTGTGCAACTTCTCAGTGGTCTCTTTTTGGTCCAGTTTGATGTCTATTTCATCCAGTGGGCAAAAAGATTCATTGACTTTTTTTCACGTCCTGATTTTATCCTATGTATTTGGAAATTCTTCCTAGGGGTTCATGTGGGATGTGGCTCAGGAACTGAAAGCTATGTTGGTGTTTGCTGAACATCGCTACTATGGAGAGTCCCTACCCTTTGGTAAAAATTCATTCAAAGTAAGTATTCTTTTTACTTTTAAGTTTAAAAGTTTTTTTTTAAGTTTATATTTTCTAATTACATGTGCCACCGTGAGATAACTTTAACTTGAACTGCTTGAAATCTGGATAATTTGTATTTAACTTCTCTTTCCTTTCTTTCTTTCTTCTTCTTTTTTTTTTTAACCTGATTAGATTTTATTTGTGGATAGTAACAGTTGATTTTTATTTATTTATTTATTTCAGTTTTTTTTGCTGGGGCCAGGTTTGAACATGCCACCTCTGGATATGGGGCTGGCATCCTATTCCTTGAGCCACAGGTGCCGCCCTAACTTCCCTTTTCATATACAATCTGAAGAGATTGAGTTTTTTTAGCCATATCATTACAATTCCTAATGTTAGTTTTTAACTCATGTACCTAGGCCAGCCTCGGCTAGGTAAATCTTGCTCTGTGGCTACAGAGACAGTATAGGGAGCTTTTCATTATTTAAATTATATCAGCAAATAATTCTGCTTTATAAATCATACACTTAAATTATTGGGCTTTCCACTGGAAAAATATAATGAGTATATAAATATTTATCTACTAAACTGATTTTCAATCTGTAAAAGAAGGATAAATAAGTTCTATGATTCAGTGAGGCCAGTTGGATTCCCTGTTGGTCCTTTCTGTGCCCACAGGCGACTTTGGCCTCTGCCGCAGACTCTCTACCTTATAAGTAAAACAGCATGCTTTCCTCAACCGAGTCACTCATAAACTACCCTTGTGTTTCCAGCTATATTGATTTGCCACTTGTCCTATTATTTACTTAACGTTTTTCTTTAATCAACTTATTTTTTAAACTTAGCATTATCTTTTTTTTTAAAGATAGAGTCTCATTTTATCACCCTTGGTAGAGTGCTGTGGCATCACAGCTGACAGCAACCTCCAACTCCTGGGCTTAGGCGATTCTCTTGCTTCAGTCTCTGGAGTAGCTGGGACTACAGGCGCCCGCCACAACGCCCAGCTATTTTTTTGTTGCAGTTGGCCATGGCCAGGTTCAAACCTGCCACCCTTGGTATATGGGGCTGGCACCCTACCCACTGAGCCACCGGTGCTGCCCCTTAGTATTATCTTAACCAAGGGCTTTACGTACTAGGCTTTCTCCCCTCCCCAAATTACATTAAAATAAAACAATAAATGTTACATTAAAAAAGTTTGTGCAGGGCTGGGTGCAGTGGCTCACTCCTATAATCCTGACACTCTGAGAGGCTGAGATGACCAGATTGCTTGAGCTCATGAGTTTGAGACCAGCTCAGGAGTTAGAGACCAGCCTGAGCAAAAGCAAGACCCTATCTCTAAAAATTGGTGTTGTGGTTGTCGCCTGTAGTACCAGCTACTCAGGAGGCTGAGACAAGAGGATCACTTGAGCCCAGGAGTTTGAGGTTGCTGTGACCTATAATGCCACGGCACTCTGCTGAGGGCAACATAGTGAGACTCTGTCTCAAAAAGAAAAAAAAAAAATGTTTGTACACTACCTACACCACCAGTATTCACGTATTATGCTTTTTGGAACTCTCAGCTAGGGGCTCTTTTTGGTTTGCTTCTTTCCCTTTGCTCATGGTAGATGTTACAGATACTATGAGAGGACTAGCAACAAAAATTGCACTGAACTATCCATAGTGCCATAAAAACTAGAAGTGAAGAATGGTAACAGTGGCTCGGCGACTGTAGCACACTGAAGTTAGCAGGTTTGAACCTGGCCTGGACCAGCTAAAACAATGACAACTGCAACAAAAAATAGCCCGGTGTTGTGGCAGATGCCTGTAGTCCCAGCTACTTGGGAGGCTGAGGCAAGAGAATTGCTTAAGCCCAAGAGTTTGAGGTTGCTGTGAGCTATGATGCCACAGCACTCTACCAAGGGCAACATAGTGAGACTCTGTGTCAAAAAAAAAAAAAAAAAAAGAATAGTAACGGTGAGAAAGGAGAACTTAGCATGTATCTTGGATAACGAGAAAGGTTAAAGGAGGAGGCAGCATAATAGGAAAGAGGAAAAATGGGCGTCATGTGAATCCGTAATATGCCAGATGATGCAAAGAATCAGAGTGGTGAGACCAAAGCATGAAGGTCAAATGGGACAGCCTAATACAGGTGTGTAGCTGTGCTATTATCTCACATTATGGAAGAGGTTACCTCACTCTAGAGGCTTAAAATAGCAATAAGCATTTGTTACCTTACAGTTTCTATGGATAAGGGATTAGGGCTTGCTTAGCTAGGTAATTCTGTTTTAGGAGGTCCCATGGGGTTAAGATGTCAGCTGGTGCTCCAGTCATCTGAAAGCTTGACTGGGAACTGGAAGATCCCTCCATGCGTATTAACTCTCATGGTTAATAAACTGGGGCTGGATGTTGATAAGAAAATAATATTTCCTCTATTTGGAGGAAAGCTGATCTGAGTCTGGCCCTTTGCTGGATGCAGAAAAGGGTGCTGTGCCTAGGCTGCTGTTACGTGCGCGCTTATAGTCAAGTCTTTTGTTATTTTTCTTTAGGATTCCAGACACTTGAATTATTTGACATCAGAGCAAGCTCTGGCAGATTTTGCAGAGTTAATCAGACACTTGCAAGAAACAATTCCAGGAGTTAAAAATCAACCAGTCATTGCTATAGGGGGGTCCTATGGTGGCATGCTTGCGGCTTGGTTCAGGATGAAATATCCCCATATGGTCGTTGGGTGAGTGCATTTGCCTTGGACATAAGCACTTCTTAATGATTTTCAGGGCAAATTTAGAGATTCATTTTAAGTAAAAGATGTTCCATTCTATTGTACTGAGATTTGTAGTTTATGTTTCACATACCATTTTTTCTCGCCACTTTTGTTCGATATTAGTATCAATTTTAAAAGTTGATTTAGATGTTACATATGTATTTTATCTTTTTTCCTTTCTTGTTTCTTGTTTTTTTTTTTTTCCATTTAGAGCTCTTGCAGCTTCTGCTCCCATCTGGCAATTTGAGGATTTGGTCCCTTGTGGTGTGTTTATGAAGATTGTAACTTCAGATTTTAAGAGAAGTGGTCCATATTGTTCGGAGACCATCCGCAAGTCCTGGAACGTCATTAATCAACTCTCAACTACAAGTAAGCTTTTATTAAGAAAATAGAATTGTGGAGTTTTCTTAGAACTTGCATTTGTTAAATTCAACACTTCTCACTTTTTAAGTAAACATTTTATTAAGTTTAACATAGATACAGAAAAGTACACAAATCAAAATGTGTAGCCTGATGAATTTTGACAAAGTCAGAACAGAATATAATGAGCATCCCAGTCAAAAAAGAACATCATCAACATTTTAGAAATCCTTGTGCCTTTTCAGTTCCTAACTCCTCGTCTGCCCAGCTAATCGCTCTCCTCACTTTTAGAACCGTAGGTTAATTCTGCTTGTTCTCGACATTTTAGTCATTGAAGTTGCATGCTATGTATTATTTTTGTGTTCACTGTCTTGCTCAGTGCTATCTGTTAGACACATCCATTTGTTTTTTTAGTTGTAGTTTATGCATTTTCATTGTTCTGGAGCATTCCTATTTATTATTTATTTCACTAGTTTCTTAACAGTGAGGAATAGTTAGGAATACCAATTCTGGTAAACGCCATGAGGATAATCAACTTATCTAGCATGGTAGTCTCCATTTGCTCTAAAAATACTTTAATGATGTTGAAAAAAGATTCTTAGAGAAGTGGTACGGAGGATTTGGTTTTTTAAAATGATGTGAAGAATAAATGATCTGTATAGCTTTCTGTTGACTAGTTCTTTTTAGATTCCAACAGTGTGATCCTATTTCCAGGCAGAGGCTTACAGTACCTTACTGAAGTCCTTCATTTATGCACCCCGTTAACTCCTCGGGACGTCCAACATTTAAAAGATTGGATTGCTGAAACCTGGGTGAATCTGGCGATGGTGGACTACCCTTATCCATCTAGCTTTTTGCAGCCTTTACCTGCTTGGCCAATTAAGGTAATAGGAAGGTACCCTATCATCATTTTTAATAACATAATTTTTATTGTGTGTTTGTGTGTGTATGTGTGCATTCACTGACTTTCAGCATCAGAGAAAATTTTAATACCACAGGGGCTCTGGGACCTGGGCTGAAAATTTGGGTTCTGCTACTTTCTGGTTACACGACCTTGGTCACGTTACCATACTTGACTGGGCATCAGTTTTCTCATTTGAAAAATGGAGATAGGCTCGGTGCCTGTGACTCAAGTGGCTAAGGCGCCAGGCACATACACCTGAGCTGGTGGGTTCGAATCCAGCCCAGGCCTGCCAAACAATAACAACTGCAACCAAAAAATGGCCAGGCATTGTGGCGGGCACCTGTAGTCCCAGCTACTTGGGAGGCGGAGACAGGAGAATCGCTTGAACCCAGGAGTTTGAGGTTGCTGTGAGCTGTGATGCCACAGCACCTACCCCGGGGGATAGCTTGAGGCTCTATCTCAAAAAAAAAAAAAAAAAAAGAAAAGAAAAGAAAAATGGAGGTAGACTGTATCAATTATAATTTGTGTGAATTAGAAATAAGACCCCGTGCTGTTAATGCTATGTGTCAAATCCTGGGCCAAGCACTTTGCATACATAAACATAATTTACTGTCTGTTAGTGCTGTATACAGGCAGTCCTCAGGGTATGGACGAGCCACCTTATAGTGTTCTAAACTTATGAAAAGGCTCCAGGGCTCCCTTTAAGGATACTTTATAATTAAATTAACACACATAATTTTGGAACTAGTTCTCCCACACATGGACAAACCCTCGTGGCATGAACGGTGTATTGGTGCAGCATCTTTGTACTAGTGGCAGTCTCTGTTGCCTATTTGGTGACTTACACATACCATCATTTTTGTTTTTACTTTTTTGTTCAGTTTTATAAATCTGTGTTTACACTTATGACCATACATCCAAAGTGAAAGCCCACTGCAAATCCAAGTGAGTTTGGAGTAAAGAGAAAGATGATTACAAAGGAAATGAAAGTAGAAATAATTAAATGTTCAGGGAAAGACCAGATGCCATCATTCACTAGGCAAGCATTAGGCTTCAATCGCTTGAATATCAGAGCAGTTTACAAAGGATAAAGTGGGAATAATAGAACACGTAGAAAGCAGTGCTCCCCCGTGAAAGTATCAGTTATTACAAAGCAGAGTAGTACATTCATTACTGAAGTGGAAATGTTATTATTGGTTTAGAAGATCAAAATAAGTACAGTATTTCTATTACCCAGTGTTGATGCAACATTAAGTATCACCCTTTAATATTCTTTCTTGAAATTTTTCTTGTCTCCTATATAAAATTTTTAGATAAGTTTGTTTTTATGTTTTATTTGTTTGAATTAAAAGAGAAAGCACAATAGTTTCTGTAACTTATTATTATAGTACAGAGGTGTCATTGTTATTGTACTGTATTATTACAGTGGCTTATGTATGACCTTTATAGTATTATTATTATTGTGTATGTACTAATCATCAGGGATCTGAGTTACATACAAATCCAGCCTAAAGACATTCTCAGGAATGTAGCTCGTCCGTAACCCTGGTACTGCCTGTATATATGTAATTCCTGGATCTATGTAATACATGGTAGATGCTTAATAAATGGCAGCCTTTATCACCATACTGTATGATCCAGTCAGCTGCTAAAGCATTCTGAGTGCTATGGGTGTTGTGAAGGGGTGATCCCCGTGCAGATCGCAGTGGAAAGAATGTTGAGTTAGATCCTGGAGGCAAGGGTTTGGTCCAGAACTGCTGATTACCAGCGATATGATCTTGGGCAAGGTGTTTTTCTTTCCCAGCCTTTTGTGTCTTCCTCTGAAAAATGGGATTAACAGTGCTTCCATATTGACTAGGGTTGTGCTGAGGATCAAATACGATATCGGAGGTGAAAACACTTTAGAAAGTGTAAAAACACATTATACTCTGTATTTTAAGGTTTTTTTCATATCAGAATTCTTTCTTGTATTTGTTCTTTATAAGCATTCCTATTCCTTAGTTTTAAAAACAAAATGTTAGCCAACTTGATGGTAAAGTTTAGAGAACGTAACTGGCTCTACAGCTAGAATGGGTACTGGGAGTGAAAATAGAATTGGTAATATGAGAGACAGGTTTCAAAAGCACTTTTAATTTAACTGTCTTTTTGAACTGTTATATATGCACCATAAAACATTGTAACTGGCTTGGTGCCAGTCGCTCAAGTGGCTAAGGCGCCAGCCACATACTCCTGAGCTGGCGGGTTCGAATCCAGCCTGGGCCCGCCAAACAACAATGATGGCTGCAACCAAAAAATAGCGGATGTTGTGGCAGGCGCCTGTAATCGCACCTACTTGGGAGGCTGAGGCAAGAGACTCACTTGAGCCCAGGAGTTGGAGGTTGCTGTGAGCTGTGATGCCAGGGCACTCTACCCAGAGTGACAGCTTGAGACTCTGTCTCAAAAAAAAAAAACTTCATAACTAAAATGGAACAGGCTTGAAGTAAATATATGTCAAATTGAATTGAATTTTGACATTATGGAGTTATTAAAAATAACAAGTCTCTCTCATGTTAAGGGAGAGAACTAAATTTAGACCAGTGAGTTTCCATAAATGCCTGTGTTCTAATGATGCCTTATCTGTCTATATTATTTTACTGTTTATAAAGTATTTGCATATATGCTGTCTCATATAATCTTTACAAAGATACCGCATAGGAAAAGAGGCATAATCCCAGATTTTGGGGGAAGAAATTAAAGCTCAACTAAGAGATGGTGGAAGTGGGGTTGGAACTTCGTCTGCTGTTGTTGAGAGTCTGTGATGTTCTGTGTTGCTCTGAATTAGGAGACTTGACTGAGGTTTGAGCAGATCGCTGCTCACAGTGTGCCAGCTATGAGATTTAACTCAGTACTCTATGTACAAAGTGAGAATTACATTTGCATCTTTATTCCTACTTGAAGAACAAATGAGTTGTCAGATGATAAAAACATATGGGAAATCCCCTTATTATTTAGAACAGCGGTTGGCAAACTTTATCTGTAAAAGGCTATATTTAGGCTTTGCTGGCCATATGGTTTCTGTCACAATTATTCAGCTCTGCAGCTGTAGCATGAAAGTAGCTATAGATAATATGTAAATGAATGAGGCTGGCTGTGTGCAATAATACTTTATTTATAAAACCAGGCAATGGGTTGGATTTAGCCTGGTGGTTGCCAGTTTGTTTACTGCTGATCTAGAAAAAGAGCCAGAGGAATACAGCTGTTGAGTGTTAGTTGGTTTATTTTATCATGATTTGGAATGGTGAGCAGTCTAACTTTTTCTCCTGACTTCTTCAGTGTTCCTTTTGAGGCATTTTGCTGTTGAGTCTTAACTATAAATAATTATTTCATCTTTGCTTTCCTAAATAATTACTCAAAACCAGTGGAATACACTTAAAATATTTTGTCATCTATTTTTGATTTAGCACAATCCTTTTTTTTTATTTTTTATCTTTTGTACATATGCACAATACAAGTTTATTTTTAAAGTAACCTAACTTTGTGTTGTTCCCTCACCATCACTTTTTACTTCTTTTATCCAGGATTCATATTTGTCATTCTTTTCAGTTATTTCTTACCGATGGTACCCTTTCTCTTGACAATTCAAAGAAGGCTTGATTGCTTATATTTAAGGTTCTGTTTCTTGCCTGCACCCCCCGCCCCCAGAAGTAATCTCTCTTGCCTCTTGCCTGAGAAAGTTCCGTGGCCTCTGTTCCATCCAATAGTTAGTTACCCATCTGATTTTCAGAATTTTTCCTCTACATCTTTCTCTCAAACTCGTAGTAGCTTTGGATCACTTTCTTTCACTGTTCATTCTGTTTCTCTTCTTTGACCTCCCTCTCTGTTCTCCCAACCCACTAATCCCTGGAACACTACCCAGTTGGGGACCGCTCTTTCACTTGGATAGTTCCATTTAACCAGGATTCCCCCTCCCTCTGATATACTTCCTCCTCTTTAAAGGGCTGACAAACAGCAGTCCTTTTCTGAGTCTGTAACTCAGGCTTAGGATGGGGAGATAATATGTAACGTTTGGGTTATGAAAAAAAGCAGGTGATTTCCAATTCTGTCTGGACCTTGTACAGTTCTGAAGGATCCATGGGCAGTGACTAAATGCCATTTTCCGTGTCAATTCAAGTATCGTTCTTTTTCATTTGTCTTTGGGCTTTGCACACTCAGACTCCATTTGCTTTTGTTTACCGTTAACAGAAGCTGCAACATTCATGCAGAAATAATCATGGACTTGGCTGGTAGAACACAAGGAAGAAGAGAAAAGGGAAATAGAAAACCCCTCTGTCATTTGACTGTTCCCTCAGCATAAAAAACTACCAGGTCTCCTCTCAGCTTAAAGAGCAGTTTTAAAGGATACTGTAGCCTTTTATTGATGTTGAAGTCAGTTTTCAGCTGATAACTCATTAAATATGCACTATGTCCTGCAGATAGTGGAGTGAAATAATAAGACGTAAGATGGAAACCCTCTTCCGTTTGTCTTGATGTTTGGTAATGTATGCGACCTCTCTGGGTGGTTTAAGCGGTTTAGGTGCATTCTGTGAAAAGAGAGCTTTTAATGACAAAACTAATGTGATTATCTGAGTGAGTGTGAGAGGGGTATTGAAGCCTCAGAGAAAGAAAATCTGTTAGAAAAGCTGAATGTATCTGCTTAATCCTTTCTCTAATGTGGATGCACCACGCTCTCTGAGAGAAGATTGGTCTTTTTTTTTTTTTTAAACCTATCTTCTTTCCTTCCTCTTTTAAAAAAATTTCATCCCGCCCCCCTTTTCTTTCTCTCATTCAAATGCTTATCTTCGTAGGTCGCAGCACTTAAAGCTTTTGAACAAATCATTATCTTTACTGTCTCTGGTGTTTGTGGGGTCAAAGGGCAAAACCTAAACATTTAGGTGCAGATCTGATTAGTGTGGTGCTAAGATCACGTGAATGCTCCACTTTCTCCACCATTTCTGTATTCTTTAAAGCCCAGAATTATTAAAATGGGCATTTAATGTTCTTCTCAAGGGTTTCCTGCGTGCTCATCTGTGTTCTAGGAAATAGAAAGTGAGTTAAGTCTGTCCATTTCAAGTGTTTAATCTTGAGCCTCGCCTTAATCTACTGTTTTACAGTTTTCCTTTTACTATTAAGCATTTAGAAAGTTTTACGATTTTATGCTGCCCCAGAATTCTTTCTAGTTTTTTGCCTAAAATGAACTTAGGAAAATATAAAGACACCCTAGGAATAAAAACAAATTTGTTAAAAAATTAAGCATGAGACTGCAGGTATATTTAGGTGCTGTTTGTATTATTTTTCTCTTACCCTTTTCTAAAAGTTAATTTTCTATAACTTTTAAAGTTAAGTATGGGTAGTATGGTGGTTACAAATTGGAAGCTCCAGAGAGTCTGCATGTGAATTCCAGTTCTGCCGCTTTCTTGCTGTGTGGCTTTGGGCAAGTTTCTTAACCTCTCTGTGCTTTGATTTCCTCATTTGCAAAATGGGGATAATAGCAATTGTAATGCTTTTTAGGGTCCTTATGAATATTTCATAGGATCTGGTGTATAATAGTAGGCACTAAATTGATGCAGGAAGTGAGTTATATGAAGACTTTGATGAAAGCCTGGGTTTAGACCTATTTCTATAGTTGTTTTTTTCCCCCAAGTCAGATGGGTAATGTGTTGACAGTGGAAGAAGGTTTAAGGGAAGCACATTTCACACATGACTGTGAATAGCCAATCATCCTGCTTCCTGTAATCATAGTTTTAAAGTTGTCTATAGCCAGACATCTCTATAGCTTTTTTCCTCCTCTGTGAAATGGAAATGGTCATTGTATGTTGCTCCCTGGGTCACTGTGGGACAAGTACCTGGCCTCAAGGGATACTCAGTAATAGTACCAACTACCGCAGCCCCAGTCATTCCCATTTCAGGGCATTTATCTATTTATATAAGTAGAAGGGATATGCTTTATGTAGAGATTGTTTACATGAATCTGTTTGCTACTGTTCACAAAATAAAGTACAGCTACCCAGGTATTCTGGACAGAGGTGGTTGGCAGGGACTCTTCTCTTTTCTGATTAGATCACAGTTTCTTATATAAACTGTCAACAAGCCAGCAAGTGCTCGCCCTCCTCAAGTGGGCTGTAAATGGCAAATTGTGGAGTTTAGGCTAAAGTAGCATATGAGGTTTAACTAGTATTGCTGATATTTGATTATATTTGACCTGCAAATGTGGGAATGTCATATAGTTCAACTTAATATTTATGTGTTTTCTGCATCCTAGAGGTCTTTGATAAAAGTATGTGCATATCTCCTTTTTTTCTTTTTTATTCTTTTTGAGACTGAATCTTAAGCTGTCACCCTGGGTAGAGTGCTGTGGCATCACAGCTCACAGCAACCTCAATCTCTTGGGCTTAAACGATTCTCTTGCTTCAGCCTCCCAAGTAGCTGGGACTACAGGCACCCACCACAATGCCTGGCTATTTTTTTTTTTGCAGTTGTCATTGTTGTTTAGCAGGCATGGGCTGGGTTTGAACCCACCAGCCTTGGTGTATGTGCTGGCACCCTACCCACTGAGCCACGGGCCTGCCCTGCATATCTCCTTTTGAATTTCTTTACTTTTTGAATGAGCATGAGAATATGCTGGTCTTGCTAGTATGTCTTCTGTATTTTTTTCAAAGCTCATTCATTCTGTTATGGAAATTGTTAAGGAAATGTATGGAGTCGTGAGTGATGTGCAGTTTATGATACAGAATTATGCTTGGATCACAGAATCTTTGAGTTAAAAAAGAACTTTAAACTATCTAAAACAAAATTTCCATGGTAAATTTGCAAATATTTTGCAAAAAAATTATTAAGTGACACTTTTTGGGCTACCTATCTAGCAGGCTGGTAGAATTATAAATTGGTCCTTTCTTTCCACATCATATGTAGTATATGGTCATAGTATAAGGCAGTTTGATAGAATATACCGAAGGCTTTAAAAATATTTTATCTCCTTTGAACCAGTAATTCCTCTATGAGTTAATCACAAGAAAACAAGCATATATGTAAAGATTTAGCCCTAAGGATATTGACTATAGCCTTGTTTGTAAAAATGAAAGATTAGGAATGACCCAGATGACCAATTTTAGGGTTGCTTCAGCCATTCTTCAACTCCTCATCCTGACTGCTCCCTTTGGGATTTTCTAACCTCAGTCAGGGCCCTTCTTAAGGTATGGTGCTCAGAACTGGACCCAGTACCCAGAGGTGATCTGACCTCACTAAGGACAGTGGGCCCAGGAGTGCCCTTAATCTGGCCATGGAATTTCTACCAGCAGAGGCCAAGTTTCTGACCACGATGTTCTCTCTGTGTAACCGGGGCTGCCAAAACCCAAGCATTGTCAGCCAGTGCCGGTCGGTCTCCAGCCATGCTGGTGTCTTTTAAGGAGTGACAGTAACTGCTATTTGTGGAGATGGCTATTCATGGGGACTCCTTTTCTTTGCCTGACAGAGGCTCAGTGTTCTAAGCTCTTAGAGAGGCTCTGATGCCAGCGTGTGAGTCACACTCGCTTGCTGCTGTTCTTTTCCAGAATTGGGGGCCACTTGTTGCTGTGTACAGCACCTCCGTCCCCGCCCAGCTTGCACTTTCACCCTGCCTGTCGTCCATGCTGTGCTCAGTCACAGTGCTCTTCTCTGCTCGTCTGTGAGTTCCGTGTGTCCACTCTGTAGTTTCGTGCTATATTTTGAAAGAGCTGAATCCACTGCTGGTGCCCAGATTCAGAAAAGAATGCTGATCAACTGTTGGCTAAAAGCAGTTTAATAAATCTTGTGATTGGTTCTTGGTTTTTCACAATGTCTTGAGTACTTCTAATTGGCACATTTCTTAGGAACATTTTTCTGGGAAAAGTGCTGTGCAAATGTTAAGAGGTTTGTTTGTTTTTTTACTTACCATGAATAATCAAGAGTTACCAAAATAGTAAAATACTGTTTTAACTTTTAGTTTTTCTTCAGTTTGCATTTCCTCAGTGCTTTAGGCTGGAAAGGTTTGTGAGGCTCTCAGTTAAGCTCAATTCTTTTTATTCATGTACATGAATAAAACCCTAGTATACCTCTTATGACCTCACAGCTTCTGTTAACCTCTTGTTACTTGGACATCATAATTTCTGACTTTTCTTTCACTCAGCATTTTCTGCTACTCAGAATCTTATTGGAAATGATGTACCTTCTGTCTTCCTTTCGGAAAGTCTCATTGCAATCGAATCTGTTAAAGACTCTGTAGTTAAGATACCCGTTTTGTGTTTGCTAATACAACATTTCTTAAAATTAAAATTATTTGACTAAGAAAACTTTTTTTATAAACTACCAATTGGAAATATTGCTGTACAGAATTTATTTCGGGAAAGGCATCAAATTTCCCCTACGATTCATTTCTTTGTCTTTTCAAGTTTCCCTTTTTTCCAGGAAAGTATTGTAGGCATCTGAAAAGTATTGTAGGCAGCTGGTACTGGGTAGAATCGTATTGAGAGGCCAGTTTGCTTGTAGCTCCTTATTACCCTTCCTTAGTACCTTCCTTTCCTGATGGGGAGCATGTCCCTAGCCCAGGCCTTGGTGTCACTCCCACGGCCAAGACTCTCTGAGGTGGAGGGACTGACTGACTCTTTCTCTGGACTCCTCCTTTTTTTCAGACCTTGCCTGTTATATGTATATATTTTTTTCCATATGAAATGGGGAAGGACCATATCTCTGAATTTATATCAAGTGTTGATAGAGGATGTAACTTTAATGTGTTTCCTTGCCACGGAGGCTATTGATAGTTTTAGGAGAGAATACTTCCTAAGCCGTGTGGCACAGTAGATAAGAAGTATATTTCATAAGCAGAAACATGGGAGGGGGCAAATCTGAGTCCTACCATTTACTAGCAGAGTAACCTTAAATAAAGTGATTTAGCCTGAGAATCGGTTTCTTCATGTAAAATAGTGGATGATAATCTGTCTGAAAGTGCTTTTTGAGGATTAAATGATATAATGGTCGTAAACCCAGGGTTTACTAATCAGTAGCTATTATAGTTGTTATTATTCAGCTGGGAGTCCATGTGCCAGCTTAGTCAGTCCTTGCCTTTACTCCTAATCCTGAGTATTGCCTGTGAGTTTTAGAGTTAGAATTTCGGGCACTGATTATGTGTAGTGATGGGAATATTTGGGCTCTGGGGAATTGCAGGGTATGTTTCTTTTATCATAGCATAGGCAAGGGAGGTTCATGTCGTTCTTCCATAAGAAATTCTATAAAATTTGCATTTTCATAAAAATATAATCATTCAGCAAACATTTAATTACCAGATATCTTGCTAAGGGCTGGGGGAGACATTCTGGAATCAAGTGAACACGATAGAACATTACAGGGGCTCTGATGGGAATAGGAACAAGGCATAGTGGAGGTGCCAAGAAGGGGATGGTTAGGTTCTTCTCAACTTGGACACATAGGCAGGCACAGGTGCCTCAGAGAGGAGGTGATATTTGAGCTGAGTATTGTAAAAGATGAGTTGGTGTCTGCCAGGCAATAGTGGAGTAGGAAAGTGGAGAAAAGGGCATTTCAGGGTAAGGACAAAAAGAAAGGAGCTTGATGTGGTGGGGGTGGTTTTACTGGGCTGGAGCAAAGGCAGCAAAGATGAAGCTAGAGTGGTGGGTAGATGGAGAGGACTTGAACACCACGCAGATTCTGCAGCCTGGGGAGTAATTTCAGAGGTTTATAAAATCTCTGAGTAACCTGAGTAATTCCAGAGGTTATACTCAAGCGACAGAAATTGTTAAGCAGTGCAGGTAGATGCTTAAAAATGTTTTATGACCAATCAAAATTGTATTTCTTCTCAGTGTCTGAACTGTCACTCATTTTATGTCCTCACTCTTCTCCCATTTCTCTCTCTAAATGATAGGTAGTGTGCCAGTATTTGAAAAATCCCAACGTTTCTGATTCACTGATGATACAGAATATATTCCAAGCTCTGAATATCTATTATAATTATTCTGGTGAGGCGCAATGCCTGAATGTTTCAACAACAACAACCAGCAATTTGGGATCCCTGGGTTGGAGCTATCAGGTAATTGTATATGTAATTTCCCCACGAGGAACTTTCTTTTCACTGATGCAATTATGCTGCCACTGGGTGCGCAAGGTTTTGTTACCCAACCTGGATCCAGTTTTGTCTCTATTATTTAACACGATAAGACCTTGGACAAGTTTCCTCATTCATTATCACTGAACATAAATAAAGTGCCTACCAAGTGTCGGGCGCTCTTCTAGGCTTCAAACATAAATAATACATGATCTCACCATTAAATATAGCCTGTGAGAAAGTCAGGTAACTGAACTATATTGCAAGACATCTTGATAAGTCCTAGTCAAGTAACATAAAAGAGAGGGGGCCTACTTTGTCCCTCCCAGCTCCTATTCCCTTACCTGCACAGTGAGGCTAATCATGAGACTTTCCTTCCAGAGCTGTTGTGAGGAGTAAATGTAACTGATGTGAAGGAAAGCATTTTATGAAGAAGGAATATGTAGTCCTAACTTCTGTGACTTCTCAGCCAAGCGTTTCTACACACAGAGAGAGGGTGGATGACACAGAAGGAAAGCGCAGGGACTCTGAAGCTGGCTTGCCCGAGTGCACACCCTGGCTTTGCTACTTTCCAGCTGTGACTTTGGATTATTTATTTTTTTGCCCCATCTCCTCATTGGATCTTCTCTTGGCTTGCTTCTTAGGCTTGTACAGAAATAGTCATGCCTTTTTGCACTAATGGTATTGATGACATGTTTGAACCCCACGCATGGAACTTGAAGGAATTTTCTGATGAATGTTTTAAACAGTGGGGTGTGAGACCAAGCCCTTCCTGGATCACTACCATGTATGGAGGCAAAAACATCAATTCACACACGAACATTGTTTTCAGGTGAGTGTTTGCTAATCTAAAGGGAAACTTTGGTTGACAAGAGACTTTGTAGAATAGCTGAGGAAACAGGAGCCAGGAAATGCTGGGCAGTAAAACTGTGAAGAATGCTGAATGGTGCCCATCGTGTCTTCCTAAACCTGGAGAGACGGAGGATGCTGAGAAGAGAGATGATTTTATGCCCTGATACCAGTGTGTTTCATTAAAGGTCTGAAAACCAACAACAACAAAACTTAAATGTATTTTTAAAAAACTGTCCGACACAAAATGAAGCATCGCCTGTTGTTCACAATTTGTTACTATTATTAATGACAATGAAAAATTTCAGTATTTATTTAACAAACTTTAAAAAAATTTTTTTTGTTTGTTTGTTTTGTTTGTTTTGTTTTTTGGCCAGCTGGGTTTAAACCCGCCACCTCCAGCATATGGGGCTGGCACCCTACCCTTTTGAGCCACTGGCACTGCCCTATTCAACAAACTTTTGAAATGCCCACTTCATTCTGTTCCAAGAACTGGATGAGGCACTTTAAATTACCTAGTGACATCCTCAGGACAACCCTGGGAAGTAGCTGTTAGATGCCGTTTTTGACAAAGTCGTTGTGTTCAGTCACTTGCCAAAGCTCACCCAGCTTGGTTTTAGCTACTAAATGATAAAGCCAGATTTCTACCTTGGCTTGATGGACTGCAGCACCCACGCCTGCTCTTCTCTGTTACGCTAGCGGCTCCTTAAGAGTGACATACTTGCTATTGGTTCACATCAGAGTGAATTGAATAGACTCTATGTGTATTCACTGTAACTTTGACATTTTAATGTTCTGGCTTGAACATTAGGTTGTTACCTATTAAGATAGCAACTATCTTATTAAACATTTCTCCAAATCCATATGAAAATAGGAGAGAGATACCACTACATGCCTCTTAAGCAGAGTTGTTGTTTAAATTATAACTGTCATTCTTTCACAAGCCCTTTTAAGTGAGTCAGATTTGGCCCTTGCTGTACAGGCAGTAGCTTTTAGGAGAGAAGACTACAGCTTGTCTGGACGTGGGCTTTGCTTTCTGAGTTTAGGCTGGTGGCACTGTCTACTTTGCAGAAAGCCTCTGACTTACTGGACTCTTGCTGTTTTCTAACCCAGCAGGATACCTGTCTCCAAAATAAAAGATGAGACACTTTAGTGGAAAACTTAGAGTCTGTTTGCTTTATTTTCTTAAATTGTGTTTCTTGTCCTGTACAGAATTCTTCACAACTATATCCTTCAACTTAGTCATATAAAGTGACAATCGAGCCAATTAATCTATTTAGGGTATTGAAGGAAGCAGTGCCAATTTAGGGTGTTTGAAATGGGGAAAAACGTGAAAGGATTGAAGAAGACTGCAGCATGAGCCTTTGTATCTCTCTTAGTCTGTTATTGCTGCCATAACAAAAAGCCTGATAGCTGGGCATTGTGATGGGTGCCTATAGTCTCAGCTATTTGAGAGGCTGAGGCAAGAGAATCACATGAGCACTGGAGACTGAGGTTACTGTGAGCTATGACAGCATGGCACTCTATCAGGAGCGACAAAGTGAGACTTTATCTCAAAAAAAAAAAAAAAGACCTGAGGCTGGGTAATTTATAAACAGCATTGAATTTATTTCTCACAGTTATAGAGGCTGGGAAGTTGAAGATCCAGGTCCTGGCAGGTTCAGTGTCTGGTGGGGCCTGATCTCTGCTTCTAAGATGGCAGCATCCCCACATGGCACTAATCCATCCATATGGGTAGAGCCCTCATCACTTCCCCAAAGGCCTCACCTGTTAATACTTCCATGGTGGGGATTAAGTTTCAGCACATGAATTTTAGGGGACAGTCAGACCACAGTTATCTCTAAGCTCATCTTTGTCTCATCAAAGGAAGTACTTTGTCAATGTTTTGTTCTTCTTTAGAAACATCTCCCTGGCGTATTTCTGTGGATTTTTCTAGCATTCTGAACTTCAAGCACATCCATCCGCGCTTTGCCCCTACAAAGCTAAAGTTCAAACTGAATTTTTAAGTGGAATCTTTAGTCTTTGTATGAGGTTTTCTTATATGAGCTTTGGTCAAATCCATTGTCCTTTTTGTTGGTTTTAACCCTTAAAGATAAGTATTTTAGTTATCCATTTGCTCTTTTATTATTTTTCTCAAGCTAGCAAAATCATTATCATCGTTCTCATTAGAGGAAGGGGCATACTTCATGAGAAAAGTCTTAATAGAACAGAAGTCAGTAAGTGGAAATTCTCTTTGTGACCAGTGTAAGAAAGGACTTTGAAAAAGAGCTATGCAAATGTACCATCAGCTCTCTAAAATAAAATTATGAGGGTAAGTGCGTGGCTCATGTGTGTAATCCTAGCACTCTGGGAGGCCAAGTCTAGTGGATTGCTTAAGCTCAGGAGTTAGAGACCAGCCTGAGCAAGAGTGAGACCCTGTTTCTAAAAATAGCTGGGTGTAGGGTAGGTGCCTGAAGTCCCAGTTGTTTGGGAGGCTGAGGCAAAAGAATCACTTCAGCTTAAGAGTTTGAGGTTCCTGTGACTATGTAAGTACCAGGGCACTCTACTGAGGGTGAAAAAGTGAGATTCTGTCTCAAAAAAAAAGAAAGAAAAAAGAAAATAAAATTATGTAAGTTCTTTGATCCTCACTTTTATCTTCTGTGAAATGAGTGTAGTAATACCAGTCACTCCATAAAGTTGTTTTGATGCTTAAAACAAAGAGTACTTGACCCAGACCTTGCAAATGTATATGCTCAAAAAATATTTGCTAAATGAATAAATGGACATACACCCTCCACCTTGTACTTTACCTTTAAGCCACTGGGAACTGAGTATTAGTATTTGTCCACGAATGTCTTTCTGTTTCCTCTTTTTCCCCTTTTCTTAGGACTCAGACACTTCCAAGAAATCTTCCTGACTCCTCTAGGGAGAGTAGGTTTCTGCCTCCTCCTTAGCTCCCCTAGCACCTGTGAATACCACTTAGCACTCTGTGTGAAAATGATCGGTTTGTGTTTCCACCTGCCCCATGAGATTGTGAACTTCTCGGTGTCCTGTTGGGAACCTCATCTTCACCATCTCTGTGCCTGCAGCACCTGCACCAGTGACTGGCACATACTGTCTGCCCATCAAATGTGTGTGTGCTGATAAGGGTGGGTCGTGCAATGCGCAGCTCGGGGAGCATGTGAAGCTTTCAAGCTGAGACTACGTGAAGATGCAGGTTTACCTTTCTGCAGTGGCAGGTCTACTTTTACAAAGAAATCTTTTTCGAAGGCTGCTAGGTATCAAAAATCCAATGTCAAATGTTTAATTCAATAAAAATTCAAAACTCTCCTGCTTTGCTGAAGAAAGCACATTCCCAAAGTACAGGAGCAGCCTCAGGTGTTCCTTGGACTGAGTGGTTGCCAGCTATAAAATGGTTCTGGTTGGTGAGGAAGAAAATGTCGCAGGAACCCAGTGGAAAGTATCTTTGTGACCAGGCTTCTCTTCTTAAGTTGCCTCACACAGATGCAAGTGTGACTGCTTTTCTGGTTGGAAAAGTCAGTCATGATTGTTGGGTTGGAGATTTGCCAGTGAAGGCTTTGAAGTCAGGTAGACCTTGATGCCATTCTGCTGCCTTTCTGGATTAGCCGCATGGCCTTGGGCAAATTGCCAATTTATATACATTAAAAATAATAATACCTCTCTAACAGGGTCATTTCAAGGAGTAAATAGTTGTTGTGGAAGTGTACACCATGAAAGCAGGGATGTTGTCAGTTTTCTTCTCTGCTAAGTCCCCTGTGCCTACTCAGTGCCGGATATATAGGAGGTACTCCGTACACATTTGTTGAATGAATGAGGCCTTAATAAACAGTAGCTGTTAATGGTCTCACTTCAGCAAATTTTTTTTTATTTCACAGTAGTTTTGTCAGAAGGATTTCTTTTCTTTCCCAGCTTATAGACATCATTTTACCAATAGTCACTCTCACTTACTTGAATATAAATCCAAAAGAGTATCCCTGAGGAGCTGGTTAGTTTAACATCATTGCTCAGGCAAATTAATTATTGCCAGTGATTAAATGAGGCTCCCTGTTGGGAATTTTACCCAGGCATCTAGATACGCTGATGAAAGCAGGGTTTTCTCTCTCTCTCTCTCTCTCTTTTTTTTTTTTTTTTGTAGATTTCCCAATGATTGGTTTAGCTTTCACATGTCTAGGACCAAAAAATTCAAGTCCATGTGCATTTTAGGTCTCTCAGCAACTCCAAACACTGTTGCTAAGCCACTAGTCTATTTCAGATGACCTTTTAAATCAAATGCAGTTTGCTTATTATGTGGCTGTTGGGATAGCTTTTTTGTTTTGCAAATAGTGGAGAGTTTCCTATCTGGGTTAGACCTGTCAAATTGGAATAATGTTAAAGGCTATTTGTTCACTTAAGAGAATCTAAGTCCTATATAGTTTACTTTTAAAATATGTCTGGTAGTAGGGCTTTTATTTTGCATGGGAGTTTTCCTTTTTATTGTTAACAAAACCGAAAAAGTACATTAATGGGGTCTTTCTGTTAATTTCTGTTTTTTCTTTTTCCTTTGTTTTTTTGTTTTTTGAGTTGAAGTCTCCCTGTGTCACCAGGCTGGAGTGCAGTGAATATTCACAGGTGTAATCATGCTATACTGCAGCCTCAAATGGACTGATATTTTTCCAAGAAAGATGTTATTAAGTTGTAGTTGACTGAAACAGAGAATTTAAAAGTGTTTTCCTTTTTTTCTTGTATTTTGGGGGTTTTATTTTTATTGTTGTTGGAAACAGAGTCTCCTCTATAGAGCTCACTGCAACCTGGAACTCCTGAACTCAAGTGAGCTTCCTATCTCAACTTCCCAAGTAACTGAGACTACAGGCGTATGCCGCCATGCCTGGCTAATTTTTCTATTTTTTGTAGAGATAGCATCTCATTCTTGCTCAGGCTGGTCTCCAACTGCTGACCTCAAATAACCCTCCTGCCTCAGCCTTCCAAAGTTTAAGGATTATAGGCATGAGCCGTAACACCTGACTAAAAGTATATTTTAAGCACACATATACTTGATGTACCTAAATGCTTATTTTCTTATTTAATTTGTACATTTACCTAGAAGAAGCTGATCAATTAGTGTTCTGATCCAATTTTTATGAGAGGCACTATCACATCCATTTTCATGATTCACTTAACTCTTAGAGGTGTTAACACTATCATGCTTATAGAATATGATAATTATAACATTATACATTTGTGTAGTATTTTATAGTTCATACCTATTTCTAGATATATCATTTAACTTGGACCTCACAGTATCTCTGTGAGAAAGGGGCATTATCTTTCTTTTAAAACATTTTTTTTCCTATAACATACAAGGGAATTGAGGTTTATAGGGGTACTTAACTTAGCCAGGGTCATGCAGCTAATGAAGATATAACACTTAGATCTGCTGACTTAATTTATTATTCTTTTCACTACTCCACACAGCTGAAGGTCAGTCTCTCTATATTTATGTCATTATTTATGTTAATTCTGCTTTCCCATGTGGAAAGTACAGAAGTGATTTATAACCTCTTCATGAACTTACATGCATGTGTTTATAGATATGAATGCAAGGATCCAGTGCAGGACCACACACAACTAGGCACTTAAATTCTTATTCATTCACTGGGTAAATATTTGTTTGGCTCCTCCTGGGAGCCAGGTCTGGTTCCAGGAACTGAGGATATAGAAATAAACAAAACAGGCAAAAAAAAAAAAACAACCCTGCCCTGTAAAAACATTACCAATATATAAATGCTAAGGAGAAAAAAATAAACCAGGAAAAGGGGCTGAAATGTCAATGTGAAGGAGGGAAATTGTTTCAAATTTTAGATTAGAGGGACAGGGACGACCTCACCCAGGGGTGACTTTTGAAAAATTTTGTTGGTGGGATGAGAGAAATGAGCAAGGGCACAAGCCTTGAGAAGTAAGTGTCCCCGGCATGTTTCCCTTCTGGTAGAGGAAGGAGAGGCCAGTGTGTCTGGAGTGGACTCATTACAAGAGAGAGTAGCAGAGATAAAATCAGACATAGAGCCGAGGCCTGGATCAGTAGAGACTTGATGGTTGTAGTAAGGACTTAGGTTTTCACTATGAACAAGATGGGAAAACTTGTACTATTTTGAGCAGAGGAGCCACATAATCTGGACGAAGTTGGTTGCTCCGTAGGTACTAGATTGTAGGGGACAAGAGCGGAAGCAGGAAGATCAGTTAAAAGGCTAACGCAGTAATTCGGGGTAGAAAGAACAGTAACTTTGATCAGGTTACTGTTGGTGCAGAGATGTGGTGAAAAGTCAGTTTCTGGGTGTATTTGAAGATTCAGCTGATAGGATTTGTTGATGGACTATGTTAAAGGGTAAAGATTAAAGGGTGACACCATACTTTTTGCCTGAGCAAGTAAAAGGGTGAAGTTGCCATTAATAGAGATTGGAAAGATTGTAGGGAGGGCTGGCTGGCATTTGGAAGTGTTAGGAACTGAGTTTTGGACCTGATGAGTTCAAGATGTCTAATTTGACTTCCATGTAAAAATGTGAAGTAGACATTTGAATTTTGGTTCTGAAATTCAGAGAGGAAAGGTCCAGGCTAGAGATATTATTTATTAATCTTCTGTGTATAGATTATACTTTAAGCTGGAGGGATTTTTTTTTTATGATTATGCAATTTGTGGGAATAACTTTATATATGTGAAGATTTTTATTTCAGGCTTTGTAAATAATACTGACAAAACGGAGTGTGCATTAAGCAAATGTCAGAACACACATAAAAACGTTCATAAGTGATCATTAAAGTCAGAAGAAATTAAAAGTCACTTTTATGGGAAAAGTGCCATGGGCCAAGTACTTTGAACCAGTATTTCAGTGCCCATTTTATCCTGAGGTATCTGAGTTCCCATAGAATTAGGTTGATGAGAGGCAAACCAGGGATTCAGACACCAGTGTGTCTGATCCTGAAGCTCATGCTCTTCTTACTCTGTCCACAAGTTAAGAAAACATGAGCTGTTGATTTCCAACAGTAATCATGTGTCCACAAAATGTGACGTAGTATACAATTACACGTTAGACGAGGGTTATAAGACCTGAGTTTGAATCTTAGACTTCCCAACCTGAATGATCTGGGTAAGCATTTTGACCTTTTTGAGTATTTGTTTTCTCCTTTATAAAAGGGTGATAATTAGGGTGGCACCTGTGGCTTAGTGGGTAAGGTGCTGGCCCCATACACTGAGGGTGGCAGGTTCAAACCCGGCCCCGGCCAAACTGCAACAACAACAAAAAAGCTGGGCGTTGTTGGGGATGCCTATGGTCCCAGCTACTTGGGAGGCTGAGGCAAGAGAATCACCTAAGCCCAAGACCTGGAGGTTGCCGTGAGCTGTGATGCTACGGCACTCTACTGAGGGCGACAAAATAAGACTCTGTCTCTAAAAAAAAAGGGGGGGGTCATAATTAAATCTACTTCATAGGGTTGTTACAATGATGAAATGTGAAAGGCTTTGTTGTAAACTCTAAACCACTCTAGCATGTGTGGAATTACTAGGGAACAATTTAATTTACAGTAGTATCAAGAATAAGATATTTACATCATCGTCCTCTTTCAATAAAACTGGCCTGAACATTTCAAAAAAAAAAAAATAGTGCAATACTTAGGGACAAACTTAACAGAAGTGTAAGATGTATACATTGAAAAATGCAAAACGTTGTCAGAAGAAATTAAAAGTCACTTTCTTTAAATGAAAAACATCTCATGTTCATGTATTAGAAGAGGAAATACTATTAAGATGGCAATACTTGGCCAGGCACAGTGGCTCATGCCTGTAATCCTAGCACTCTGGGAGACTGACATGGGAGGATCCCTTGAGCTCAGGAGTTAGAGACCAGCCTGAGCAAGAACGAGACCCCGTCTCTACTAAAAATAGAGAAAACTAGCCAGGCATTGTGCTGGGCACCTGTAGTCCTAGTTACTTGGAGGCTGAGGCCAGAGGATTGATTGTTCAAGCCTAAGAGTTTGAGCTATGAAGCTACAGCACTCTACCTATGGCGATAGAATGAGACTCTGTGTAAAAAAAAGGAAAAAGAAGATGCACATGAAAAGGTATTGAATACCATTAGTATCTTGGGAAATGTAAATCAAAACCACAATGGGAAACCATTTCACAGCTACTAGGATGGCTGTAACCAAAAGCCAGTTAATAAGTGTTGACCAGGATACAGAGAAATTTGAACACTTATATTCAAGAAATGTAAAATGGTGCAGTCTGGCAGTTCATCAAAAGATTAAGTTATGATATGTCCCATAAACTAGGTATATACCCAAAAGAAATTAAAGCATACATCCACACAAAAACTTATATGTGAATGTTCAAAGGAGCAATATTATATTAGCCAAAAATGGAAATAATACAAATGTATATCAACTAATATTAGGGTAAATAAAATATGAGCTATGAAGCATAGCACTCTACCTATGGTGACAGGTAACATACTTATACAATGGAGGATTATTAGGCAATAGAAAGAAGTGACTTCTGGCCTCCAAGCAGGGAGGGTATTTGATGGGACCTCACCTTATGTGCATAATGCAATGGTACATTTTAAAACTACGGAGAGGGCTCGGCGCCCATAGCTCAACCGGCTAAGGCGCCAGCCACGTACACCTAAGGTGGCGGGTTCGAATCCCCAGCCCGGACCGCCAAACAACAATGACTGCTGCAACCAAAAAATAGCCGGGCGTTGTGGCGGGTGCCTGTGGTCTCAGCTACTTGGGAGGCTGAGGCAAGAGACTCGCTTGAGCCCAGGAGTTGGAGGTTGCTGTGAGCTGTGATGCCACGGCACTCTACCCAGGGGGACAGCTTGAGGCTCTGCCTCAAAAAAAAAAAAAAAAAATGCAAAAAAAAATAAAATAAAACTACGGAGAGTAGAGTATATATGTCTCACCACAACAAATAAGTGAGATGATGGCTATGTTAACAAGTTTGATGGAAGCTTTCCAGATTGTATATCAAATCTACACATTGTACCCCATAAATGCGTTAATGTACACAGTTACGATTTAATAATAGAAAAGCAAAAAAAAAAAAAGAAAAAAAAAAGAATGTCTTACAGATTCATGCCACAATATGAATGAAGCTCGAAAACATTATGCCAGGTGAAAGAAACAAGTCACAAAAGACCATCTATAGTGGCCTTTTATGTGAAATGTCCAGAATAAGCAAATGAGGCCCTTTTCTATATGATAAATTAGATCCTCGGATCGAATCTCTGAGGTTATAAGTTTATAATTTTAGGTCTTAAGCATACCTGAGTATAGATATGAAAATCTACCCTTACGTTTTCTCTTTTTCTTTGTTGCAGCAATGGTGAACTAGATCCCTGGTCAGGAGGTGGAGTGACTGAGGACCTCACAGACACTTTGGTTGCCTTCACCATCTCAGAGGGGGCTCATCATTTAGATCTCCGAGCCAGCAATGCCTTAGATCCCATATCTGTGCAGTTAGCCCGCACCTTGGAAACTAAACACGTGAAGAACTGGATCAGAGATTTCTATCGCTCAGGACTGCAGCACTGAGAGACTTTGGATCATTTTCATTTTCTTCTTTTATGTTCACACCACCCACATTCCCCTTTACTTTGGTTTTCTATGTGTAATTACTTTCCCTCATTTATCATTAGTTTTGGTAGGAGCAAGGTTGAGATAGGAGAGAGGGTGATGGTGGTGGCGCAGCCATCCCACAAGTGTGATTTCTGGGTCCTCGCTGTCTTTGCACCACCTCCAGGAAGAATTTCTTCGTGATCGCTCTCCCACACCACCAGCGGGCCCTTGTAAATAGAACAGAGTTCCAGACCACCTTTCATAAGAGAGAGAGAGAGTCACTTCCTTTGTTTCTCTGCAAATGGAGAGTTCTCCTTGGTTTTGAGGTTGAAGTCTCTGGCCCATTTATAAGTCCCCACCTCTACCCTCCAAAAAGGAAAAACAGAAGTTACATAAAAATGATGTAATTGCAGCTGGTAGGAAGGATGTCTGATGCCAATCCAGGAAATGGGAGCCATTTCTTTTGTACTTGATTTAATGACTTTGAACTGTGCTATAAATAAAGAATAGGCTGGACCTTATACCTGTGTGTTGCTTCTGAAGCTCCCTCCAGCTGTTGGGAATGCTGTGTGCCCTGGGCCTGGCTGTTTTTGGCAAGTCCTTTAATTTTCTCTCTTCCACTTGGCAGCTTTTCTTAGTTCTGGGATATCTGCCACTGTGGTACTGCCGTTCAGAAATGTGGCCTTTTTCTACTTCATTTCTCTTTGTTTCAAAGGTCAGTTTTGTGGTAATTTGGTTAACTTCTGCCAGTTTAGGAAAATGACTCTGTTTTACCTTTCACTTTAAATCTGAACAAGCTTTATGCTGTGGTCACTGGTGATATTTCAATAAGAAGACTTTAAAATTTGACAATCAGCTATTCAGAAAGTAGAAAATAGTTATGTTCAGTGTTTTAACTTTTGAATTTTATTTTCTAGCGGTGGTTACTGCTATGATTAAAGCCAGACACATCAGGACACGAGGAGGCAGGTGCACGGGAACTTTTCTGTGTGGCTTCCAAAGACAAGCTGACTAATTCATGCAGGCAGCATATTTGACATTAATAAATGGCAAGCCATTCCTATTTCCAAGGGGTTGGCTTCTTTCAAACACTTCTTACACTGAGACCTTTCTTCAGAAGAGCTTTTCTAGGATAACAAATAGGGTTGGATCAAAACCTTTCAGGGACGCACGGAGAGACTAACAGTTTCTACTCTGTTGAAAGATTCTCCCTCCTTGTTTCTTTTTATTTTCTCTCAATAAATTCCTTTTTCTTCATCTTGCTTGGGAGCATTTTCTGCTTTTTAAAAACTGTACCTTGAGCTGGATCATGTCTAAAGCAGCTATTTTATTTTTTTTTTTAAGTGCAGATATGGAGTTCATTCTTGGATGGGAGACTGAAATATTTTCCTTACTTTTCTGGCATCTGGGAGATGGAGGAAAATCTTTGTCTTGTTTTGGAAGCCTTCAGTTCTCATTGTAATGTGTTGTCTATTAAAGCGTTTGGTCACTATTTGAGCGCTAGAGAACAGTCCTCTGGGGTGGAAATTTAAGGGTCAAACATGACTAGTTTTTATTTGTCAGCTAAGAAGTTATGTAATGCAGGGTTTATGGGCTTGATAGAGGATAGCCTGATAATTTATTTTAGGACTGTGGGATGTTTTCCTTGAAGCTTTTTTACTTGTTTAAACTCTTTAAAATATTTTGGCATTTCATTTACTAGTGATTGTTTAGATGAGTTGTATTTTTCTGAAGAAACAAATTCTCCAGAAAAAGCTTTTTTTAATTACCTTTTTTTTTTTTTATTATACAGGGTAAAAAGGCTCTTTTTCTTGCATGTATAATTTGGTCCTATTACTATATACATCTTATGTGTATAGACAGCAACCTTAAGTGAAGTTAGCCTAATTATATTCTGCTGAAAATTTACTTTTAAAATGAAAAAGAATCAGAATATCAAGTAAGCCTTATTACTAAAGCACACCTCTAATAGTCTGAATTTTTGCAGAATTAGGGTTTTTTGATTTTATTTAACTGCCTGGAGATAATGGGCAAAACTAAAGAAACTTAGGGAACTTTCTTAGGGGATCCGTAGAGCTAAAATATTATCCAGAGAAGGGAAGTCTGATTCAGCATGTTAGAGAGTGAAGGTATCTCAGATATCCAGTCCAGCCCTAGCAGTTTCTAAGTAACTCAGAGAGGAAAGGACTTGTCTCAGGCCTCACAGCTCATTTTTGGTAGAACGAGGGCCATAATCCAGATACTAACTATAGAAAGAGATTAATGGAAAGGCTACTGAGACACCAAGTGAGTCCTGGGACAGCCTTTGTTTAAATTGGGATCTACCTCTCTGAACTCATTTCCCATTTTCCTGCCACCCTTCACTTTCCTAATACTATATATCATACCGTGCACTCACCACACTCGGCATCATTCTAAAATACTGCTCTTCTGTCTGATACTCCTTTCCAAGCACCAACCTGCAATATTTTTTTACTGGCAGACGTCTGGGCCTCTTTTAAAATCCAAATCAATTTGATTATCCTCCTTGTGAAATCTTTCCTAATTTTCCTTAAGAAGTCCATCCCTATCAGTGCTCTTGCAGAACCAGGTTGACACCTCATAGGTCAGCGAGAATGTAAACTCCACCAACGTGGGCATTGTCTGTCTTCATCTCCAGCACCTAAAACAGTACCCCTGACCACCTTTAATTTAGCACACATACCCTAAAGTATAATATTATAATATTTTGCTCCATGGTTTCACCCTGTTTTTAGCAAAATCAAGAAGTCAAGAGGTGTGTCTTATTTCTTCTAGTAATTAGGTTCTAGCTTTGGTTGTGGTCACCAAGTCTCAGTAACTCCTCTGTAAATTTTTATATATATATATAAAAATTATATATATATAAATTATTTTTATATAATTTTTATATAATTATATTTTATAGGAGTTACCAAGTCTCAGTAACTCCTCTGTAAATTTATATATAAATTATTTTTATATAATTTTTATATAATTATATTTTATATAATTTTTATATAATTATATTTTATATAAGTTACCAAGTCTCAGTAACTCCTGTAAATTTATATATATAAATTATTTTTATATAATTTGTATATAATTATATTTTATATTATTTTATATAATTTTATATAATTTTTTTTTTGCAGTTTTTGGCCAGAGCTGGGTTTGAACCCACCACCTCTGGCATATATGGCCGGCGCCCTTTGAGCCACGGCTGGTGCCCTGTAAATTTATATTTAATAGATGTATTTCAGGGTTGGAAGATAGCCTTTCCATCAATCTCTTTCTGTGATTAAGTACCTTTCACAACTCTGATGTGCTTCTGTGACCTCCTATACTTGGTTTCTCTGGATTTTGGAAAGGGGATCTCCTAGTACTCAGTATCTCAGCAACTTGGGTTCATGAGTTATTCTCACTTCAACTGCATGTGCCCTGGTTCCCGCTCCCATTCTGTCAGTTTAATATTCTTTGTCAGAGGAGCTGAATGTTAGATGGTTACAGAACATTGACCAAAACAGAGCCACTTAAAGAGTTAAAGAAAGGCTTGGTTCCAATAGGTTTTTCAGCTTTTAATGATGGGGATAGAAGAAGCTTATGATAGCAGACCTGGAAAGCAGTCTTGGGATCATTCAACTCAATGTGATTACTTAACATGGCTAACATCCGGCTCACCTGTGAAAATTAATTGCCCAAGGACATATAGATCAACATGTCTACTTATTCATTTATTTTTGTCACATCTGGTTCTAAAAGTACTTCAGTTAATCTGAAGATACACATTAAACATAGCACAAGCAGGATAAAAGAGATTTTAAAAGATCAGAGATGTGTTACATAAAAAAGGGGTGCCATGATAAAAAATGTTTGAAGGCTTGGCGCCTGTAGCTCAACCGGCTAAGGCGCCAGCCACGTACACCTAAGGTGGCGGGTTCGAATCCCCAGCCCGGACCCGCCAAACAACAATGACGGCTGCAACCAAAAAATGAAATGGCCGGGCGTTGTGGCGGGCGCCTGTGGTCCCAGCTACTTGGGAGGCGGAGGCAGGAGACTCGCTTGAGCCCAGGAGTTGGAGGTTGCTGTGAGCTGTAATGCCACGGCACTCTGCCCAGGGGGACAGCTTGAGGCTCTGTCTCAAAAAAAAAAAAAAAAAATGTTTGAAAATGGTTGGAAGAAATGTACACAGGTTATTCTTACATCATAGTCTCTTAAGTCTTTGCTATGCTATGTGCATTGTGAATTAATGAGAATGCAACATTTCCAAAATTTTTTTAATCCAAAACTCTTTTTTAATGTAAAATGTTGTGCATTGTGAATCAACAAAAATGCAACATTTCTCAAACTTCTTTGTGCTGCTTGTATTTTTTTTTTTTCCTTTTGAGATGGAGTGTGGCTTTGTCACCCTGGGTAGCATACCTTTGCATCATAGCTCACAGCAACCTCAAACTCTTGGGCTTAAGTGATTCTCTTCCTTCAGTCTCCCAAGTAGCTGGGACTACCGGCACTTGCCACAATGCCTGGCTATTTTTTTTTTTTAAGAGATGGGGTCTTAGTTATGATTTAATAAACAAATGTTCATCACTCTAAAAAAATTTTAAAAAATAGAGCAGCGCCTGTGGCTCAAGAAGTAAGGCACCAGCCCCATATACTGGGGGTGGTGGGTTCAAGCCTGGCCCTGGCCAAAAATGCAAATAAATAAATAAATAAATAAATAAAATGAAAGAGATGGGGGTCTCACTCTGGCTCAGACTGGTCTTGAACTCCTGAGCTCAAGTAATCCTCCCGTCTCAGTCTCCCAAATGCTGGAATTAGGGTGGTACCTGTGGCTCAAAGGAGTACAGCGCCGGCTCCATATACTCGAGGTGGTGTGTTCAAACCTGGCCGCGGCCAAAAACTCCAAATGCTGGACCCACTGCCCTTGGCCAAACCACGTATTTTTTCATGCGACATTTGCAGAACTAGTGCTCTGCTGAATGCCCATTGGGCAATGCTGTGATGGAAGTGTATATATTTTCTGAGAAGAGGGCTAAGAAAATTTGGCTTTAAGCTTTCTGGTAAAAAGCAGATGAAAACAGTCAGGTAAACAGTTTACACTGTGTGTAAGATAAAAACTGATTACTCAGTTGGAGAAGCCCAGGCAGGAACCTCCTGGAAGAGCCTCAGAAAGAGGAAAAGTGTAGTGAATGAGACCTTCAATATTTCTCCACATATTAATAAGCTACATTGCATTCACACGTGTACAATCTTTCAGTATAGATGAAAGTACAATGATTCTCTAATGAACTAACGAAATATACTACAGGTCAACTTTTTTGCTGATCTGGAATAGATTTTACAGTGTCTGGAGGGCTCCTCAACCAAAGTTTTGCCAGATAGATATTTCTTGGACAGTTTGAGTGCCTTAGTAGTTCAACAGGGGCGAAAGAATGATGTTTTGTAACACATATGAAGTAGCTTTTTAAAAAATGAGCTTTGACATCTGAATATACTATTGCTCTAATTGACTCACAGGTGAACT